AGGTCATAGTAAAATGTGTAACTAAAGACAAAATACCAATCCTTAATAGCATTATGCTTGAATTATTTTATTAATTATGTTATTATGCTTAAATTAATTTTAATCTCTGCATTGGTTTCTGTGATAATGACTATACAAATCCTATAGGCCTAAGAGAATTAAATAAGTTAAAATTTGTAAAGTATTTGGGACAGATCCTACTATATCTAAGTAGAATGTGGGTATTTTCAAAATCTTTTTGATGACTATTGATATACACTATTAAATATTTATAGAGTTCCTTGATCTGGAGCTCAAGCCAGTGTGACCACTGGTCACTTTTAATATCGTTTACTCTACCCCAATGCCTAATAACTGTTCAGAAAATACGTAGTAAATTCAGTTGTATGCAATTTATAACAGCTTAAAGTCTTTTTCAGTTTATTTGGAAAAGGTCTATCTACCTTCAATAGTAATCTGTATTGAAAACCAGGTATGATAAACCAAAGAAGCAATTTGTTAATGCTTTTTCTCTCTTCAAATCAGTATTTTATTCTCTTTTGAATATTCTGTTCCCAATAAAATTCACTTCCAAATTAACAAGTTTTAAAACATATTTATAAAGAAAATAAACTTTCTATCAGATGGTAGCATTTCTTCATTAAATTTTCCCTTTTTTTTTTTTTTTTTTTTTAGCAGAACTGGGGATTGAACTCAAGCCCTTTTATTCTACTGAGCCATCTCCCTAACCCTCTTCATTAAATTTTAGCACAGAAGAAAATGTGTATTTTGCAACAAAACCAAAGCCAGTATCAACAACAGGAAATGACTAACAGCTACATTATCTCCTGAGATAACATTAAAGATGTTTGTCAACATCTGTGTAGCTTTAAAAAATACATGCTCAAGATTCTAGATCTGTATTTTAGATTATGGAATTCCTTGGGAACACAATGATAAAACATGTATTATCTTCATCTATACTCTTAACTGTAAAATCTGTCTTTCTAAAATAAACTGTCCCAGTGTTTAACAACTCCATCTTTTAATTCAAAATAAAAAAATGGAAAAAACAATTGATGATAAAGCTTATGAAAATTCTTCTGTTCATCACTGTACCAGCTAATTATGTTTAATAGGAAAGCAACAAAATATATACTGCAAATTCAAGCATGTACCAATTTTTTGAAAATGCCTTGATATGTACACCTATACTTCACAGAGTATGTGAGCTTTTACAGGATGCTGAGGCATTAAGCCTGGGGCTTCCTAGATGCATACCTTTTTAGGAAAGGCAGCATGAGGTACCACTCACTGAGAGGGGCAGACAACCCAGGAATGGAGAGAAAAGAAAATCTAACTGGACAATGCTGTGTGATCACCTGCAAAGCCTTGTTGAACGTTTTGTAGGTCCTAATTCACGGAAGAGAAAATACAGGCCCACAGGAGGCTAAGAGGCTTACCTAACACCTTCTACTCATGAATCCCCCCTTGTCTCATTTCTCCCTATAGCACAGGAAGGCTTCAACACTTCCTGTTATCTAGTTCAGAAGATACCAACATTGGAGTCTGTATGATAATACTGGGGTTGATTTGCAATACTGGCCTCTCACCTCCACAATAAGCTCAATTACTAAATTACTTACGCATTAGGCTGTAAATGTGCTTTTCTGCAACATGTTCCGTAAACAGCTTTATAAGGTCATCTTTTAAATCTCTGTTAAGCTTAGTTTCGATGTAAAACTTATTCTGAAAAACAAATAACTTTTTTAATGCATGAATCGGAGGAAATGATTAGTCTCATGAATGAAAACAATAAATATCATTTTAGGAAATAATGTACAAAGGTTACAGATTAAAAAAAAAAATCAACCAAGAGCCCTAGTTCAAGTCTTTCTGGCACAAGGTTACAAGAAGATAAAGTGCTATGAACTATAACTTAACATTGCTGTACAGACACTACACAGCCATGCGTGGGACGTGCTCTTTTAAAAATCTGAATCAGCCAGAGGTGGTGGCACACACCTGTAACCCCAGTTCTCTAAGAGGATGCATAAAAGGATTTCATCTCAAATTTAAGCCCAGGCCGGGCAACTTAGCAAGACGCTATATGCTGTCTCATAATAAAAAATAACACAAACCTCAGGAATAGAGCTGAGTAGGGGAGGTAACTGGGTTCAATATCCAGTACCAGGGGAAAGGAATCACGTCTAAGCACAACACCAGGAGAAAGCCACCTCTCTCATGATCTATGTGTAAAGCAGGCAGTAAACATGTATTGTGACTCCAACACACATTTCACTTCAGGAGTCAGTTTAAGTTATTCCACTCCGAGCATTCCATAGAGACCATCTGTGCTTCAGTCAGACAGCAAAGGAGGCATAAATCAAACCAAAAAGGCCAGGATTGGAGGAAAGTTCTTTAGTTCTTTCTGCAGTTCTGTTGCAGGCCATAACACTTTTTCTTACTTATTTAAATCACTTTGAATCCAGTTTTCTGTTTCCTGTAGCCTAACTAGCATGACTAGCAAGCCAAAAATGATCAAATGTTTATGTATATTAACTCAATGCCTCAATGCAGAAAATACAAAGATGAATGTTAACAAGTCATTGACTCTCTCTTCATAGATTTTTCTGTTTGAAATATTTAGTTAGATCCATATAGTTAAAAAATACAAATACATACAAAGAGTATGCAATAAAATCTCCCTTTGCAGGTCTTCTGTCCTCTTCCCAAAGGTTCCATTCTATGCTAGGAAAAGTATTGTACAGTCATTCTAAAATGATCCTTATATGTGTGTACTTCTTTTTCTCAAAAAAAGCCCTTGCTCAGAAGGAAATATTACACACTATACTTCACTGTTCACCCTCAAGGGTGTATTCTAGAAGACTTTTCTTTAAAAAAAGACTTATCATTATTATTATTATTATTAAAATGTATTTGATACAGGGTCTCATTATGAAGCTCCAACTCCTAGTGATCCTCCTGTTTCCAGCCCCCCAGCACAGGAATTGTAAGTTTCCGTGGCCAGCACAACATGTGATGCCAGAGATCAAACCAGTCACTGCAACTGACTAAGCAGGTGCTTAATCTGCTGAACCATCTCCTTGGCCCTCATGTCACTGTTTTTAACTGTATTATTTCTCTTTTCCATTTATTTGTCCTAATAGCTTTGCTAGCCCAATTCTGTACTATTAAAAACACTGCGTAATTCTTAATTCTTACACATATGCATAGTATTTGTACATGCTTGAGTTTATTTGTATTCCCAGATATAATTCTCAATCTTTCAAAGAGACTTACAATTAACATTTCTACCAAACGCATCAACTTATTTCCCTACAGATTTACCAGAACTATTATCAGACGCTTTCAATTTCACTACAAGTGTTTTTTAAATGTTGCTTTCTTTGAATTTGCCATCTTTTAGTGTTGAACATAGTATTGTGCTTATATTTGTATTTCTGTGAATTATCTATATTTTTCTATTTTTCAACAGAAAAAGACCTTTTTATAATTCATGAAAACATTATTAAATAAATCTTTGTCTCATGTTTCAAAAATGTACTGCTACTGTTCCCCACCTATGTTTTGCTCCTGGTATTTTACTATACTAACATTTTTAAACTTTGGACTTGTAAATCTGTGTCTGACTCAGAAAGGATTTTCCTTATCCCAAGGCTGCATACAATTCTTTCTAGTTCCCTTTCATTTTTAAAGACTTTCCCATTTAGAATTTGTTATAAATATAGCCATTGTCAGACTCTCCAAAATGACTATCAACTGTCTCAATACCAGCTAAGGAACAACCTAGGCTTTCCTTATTGATCTGAAATGTCTTCTTGCTTTACTAAAAATACCATGTCCTTTTTTTCTTCTTTATTAAAATGCTACTGCAGTGTTTTCTAGTTTCCACTGTCTTGATCTAGCTATCCCTGAGCCAATGACAAACCCTCTAATTACTGTAGCCTTCTCATTCAATACCAGTAAGGGACTGTCACCTCTTATTTGACATTACAGCACCTTTCATGACTATTAGTTTCATTCTTTTCCCATATGGATTTTCACAAAAGTCTCCTATATTTCCTTCTCTAAGAAACTGCTTTCCCCTCCAGAAGTGTATTTTGGTCAAAGTTTATTTTAAATTTTATTTTTAAAAATTCATATAGCTACTTTCATAAATGAAAATTTTAAAATTTAGAATAAAATCAATTTGATGGTATACTTTCAATCTGGTATCTACTTGACAATTGCAGTTTATATACAAAATAAAAGATAAAATAACTGCTTTGGCCCTAAAGGAAAGTTTTGGGCACTTATAGCATTTTTCTTTGCTGGAGTATCATATACTGTTAACATCTGATTTAATTTTTTATTTTTGAAATAGCATGTATTACTTATGAAGTTACTGCTGTACATGTTGTGTAAACTTTTCATCCTGTAGAAACATAAACTTAGATGCTTTTTTTTGTATTTAGGGCAGGGTCTACAGGGTCTCACTGCATAGAGCGGGGCTGGCACGGCAGGCCTAGGGATTGAACTCGTGGCTCCTGCGTCTATCTAAGCAGGGGCTTTAATCTGGCTGACTCTAGATACTTTTAGTATAAGCTGAATCAGAAGTTTTCTGCACATCTTCCCACAATGTTTGATACGATCTTTTCCATTCACTGGCTCACAGATTCATTTTCTTCTTTGCCTGAGGGCATTATTTTCTATACCAATTATACCATCTGACTTCAGCTGCTCAATTTGTTCAAATTCTTTTCAGTTATATCTGGGTGCGTCTTTCTCTTTTGTGTGTACACATCACAAAGCTGAATAACAGACATTAAAACAACTTCCACAATTGTAGCAAAAAATGGTCTGAGGGGCAGCAGAAAGCTCAGTACAAGAGTTCCAGGCTCTTCACTCTCGCCTAACTAGCACGCTCCACAGCACCCTAGGTGCCCTGGGTTCTGCCTAAAGATTCTTTATCTTTCCCATTTGCTTGCTGTTAACAATGGTGAAACTGTACTGGGTATACAGTGTTGTTTACTGGTACCGTGTGAGAATACTTAAGTAGATCACCCTTTTTCCAAGTCACATTGACTAAAGTCAAATTCCCTGATGCTGTGAACTTACAGGTGAGAGACATAAGCACTTTCCACAATGACATTTTTCTGTCATGCTGGACATTCAATTCACGGCATGCTATGCCTCTCCAAGGGAAGCTTAGAATACTCTGTCATCATTCCTTCTCCAACAGGTAACCTTGTAAAAGATGAATCTGCAGGCATGCCATCCACCCAGCCCTCACAGGCCACAGCCTGGACACTCAGAAACAGTGGCCCGGCTATACGTGCACCCTGTTAACATCTTAAGACTTGAAGGTACAAGCATCTTAATGTGCACTTCCTAATCTTCCATAAGAACCCAGAGTCCATTAAACAGAAACAGTATGAAAAGAAGTTCTACTAATTAAAAAATCTAAGGCTTTTTACTGATTTTTCTTCTAAGACAAATCTTGATTAAGAAGGCAAAACCAACCTTCTACTTATATTCACTGTAAAACTGATTAACTTTAAAAATTATCAGTTTCCAAATAATTATTATGTTTAAATGTAAATAAGAATTATTAGCTTAAAGAAAATCACAAACTACAGTAAGATCTTTTGGAAAGTGCCTTATTACTGCTGACATAGTTCTGTTTTCCATTTTTAAAAACAGTATGTTTTATGAAAATGATTATTTTTAAGATTGGTATTCCACATATAACAGTGTATATACTATAGAAGGTAGAATCAACCAAATATCTGGTTCTCTAAAAAACAAAGAGGAGCTGGAATAATGGCTTCTAAGGGGCAAGGGAGATAGCCAAGGCTTAAGCACATGCCTGGCAAACACAAGGTCCTGAGTTTGATCCCCAGTACCAACAAAAAAGGGTTCTAGGGAATCCTGCATTTAGTAAGAAGATTAATTTTAAGATTCTACAATTTTATTTATTTAAAAGGGGGAGAGAAACCTAATCAACAAGTTATAGCCTACAAATTATACTCAAAGCATGACTATACAAATAAAAGAGATCATCAGTGTGGAATTAATATTTTATTGCTTTACTTTTAATAGAATGTGTCACTTGGCATTTATCACACATATATTTGTTTGCCTTAACTCTCTTTCTAATGAAATCTTACATAATAAATCCTCAATTTACAAACAAGTTCTATTCTGGGACATCTGTAAGTTGGATTCCTTTGTAATCCTACAAAATGCATCTTACACAGTACACCTGAGAAGTTTTCAACTTTAATGCTCATAACCCAGGGACTATATACTTTTGTTTTTCCACGAACAAGCACAGTGCCTTCCACATGACAAAAATAAAACCTCACTGTATGACTGTTGATCATTAACTGTCTAATTGTTATTTAAGGAATTTCAAATCATTAAAAAAAAAAGTTCTGCATTAGCTAGAAAAACACTCAAGTTAATTTCCACTTCTCAAAGTTACACAAAATAAAAGCTAAACAGAACATGTTTAACTCTGCATCTTTCTTAAAGTAGACAACAGCTCAAACTTACCATATATATGAAAAGAGGCACAATGCTCTGCAATGCTCCCATATACTGTCCAAGAGCTATATTAAATCTTTCAATATAGAGATCAGGAGGGCTGGCCTGTGAAAGAGAATATAAAATATAAACGTAACCGTTGTGAGAAACCGAGTTAAAAGCCCATCCACCACAATCTGAAATGCAAACAGATTCACAATCAAAAATTCATACTGAGACAATAAAGAAAAGGAGATGCATGTATACATTTAAGTTAGGGCCTATATCCTGTTCCAAAGCCTGCTATGTAAAGCTGAGCTTTGGTTTGGCTATCTTTAAGAAAGGTACAGCTCAACATGTTAATTAAAAGGTCTGTTCTCTTAATGAATAAAAGGGATATTCAAAATAAAGATAAGGAAAATTTTAAATTATCACTAAATTATGTAGACATCTATAAGAACCAAACTATTGGGGACCAGAGTGGGGGTAAGGGGGAATTCAAAAAAGTGCAACAGGCACAATATATTTTTATAACTAGTGAGGTTGTGTAATTCCCTTAAGCACAGTAACATTCAGAGTTCTATGCTAACTTGGTTGTAAAAAGCTTCTATAGCTAACCAACTAAAAATATTAGTTAGAAAGCAGGAACTAAAATGACCCTTACATCAGCAGCTCTAGAGTAGTATGATGCAGTGCATGCCTATTTAACTCATTGCTACAAATACCAAGTCACAAAACCATAAAGAGAACACTTCCAACTTTGTACTACAGAATGAAGTACATATCCCTTCAAAATTAACAAATATATTCAGGAGCCCCAGTGCAGCTTCATTTGAGAATAAAGAAATATATTTGAGTTTATAAGAGTGGAGCCCTAGTCCCATGGAATTAATGTCTTCATATAGAGACCTTGAGCCCACTTACCCCAACACACAGTGTCACTCTGAGGAAAGCTTTGGAGAGGAGGCTGTCAGGCACAAGCCAGGAAAGCCCTCGCCAGGAACTAACCAGCTAGCACCTTATCTTGGCACTGCCAGCCTACAGGATTATAAGAAGCAAACTTCTATCAAGTCACCTAGTCTGTGGGTATTTTGCTGTGGCAGCCTGAGCAACACTGCTTTATATATTCTCTAAAATTTTAATATTAAAGAAATCTGCATGAGATAGCACATGTGCCTAAGAGTAGATCATTAACAAGCATCACTGCATCATTCCTGGGCCAGAGTATCAACCATGGCAGAAATATTGTGCAAACAAAACAGACTCTATCTATACAAAATCTAACCTGTGGTGGTCATATAAGCTAACAACCACATGTCACACACAAAGAATTTCAAAGAAAGATACTTAAGAAATAACACATTGAAGGGATGCTAAATATTAAATTAAAAATACAAGCTTACAAAGCACAGCTGAATTATTTTAGAAATATCCAAATATTTTACTACTTTAAAATAAGATTAAACTCACTTTTATCCAAATCTTTTTTTTAAGATTTTATAGGTTTTTTTTAAACTTTATTTATTTTTTAAATTTTATTTATTTGTGTGTGTGTGTGTGTGTGTGTGTGTGTGGCCAGCTCAGCCCACCAGGGGGCGGGGCTGGCTGGCATGTGGTGCTGGGGGATTGAACCGCGGTCCCTGTGCTTTGCTAAGCTTGTTCTAAGCAGGTGCTTTAGACCACTGAGCCATCTCACCAGCCCTATCCAAATATTTTAATACTACTTTAAACAACAATTAAACTCACTTTTTCAGTTCTACTTAAAAGCTTAGAATCTATATAGAGAGAACTGTCTTCTCCCAATTCATCTTCCAATTTATTGAGTATAGACCTTAGTGGTCTGATATATGGCAGGTGCTTTATTTGCATTTCTTTTCCTAGTCCTCTTAACTGCCTGCAAAGCGACTGTCATTTCCATTCTACACACAAGGCAAACACCCTCAGAAATATTTATTCATTTGACTATCATTCTACAACTAATAAACCCCAGAACTAAGACTTATACCACAGTTAATCTGAGTTCCTCTGTACTTATTTAAATTCTCTTCATGGCACCTTGAGTGAATTAATTAAGCCATACGGGGGACTGAACTCAGGACCTTACGCTTGCCAGGCAGGTGCTTATGCCACTGAGACATCTCACCAGCCCTTACACCTTGAAATTTTAATGCAAGTTCAAGCTTCTCCATCTGTCTTTGGTTTCAGCTGGTTCCTCCTCACACACAGCCCAGCGTGGCACTGGCAGGAACTACTAGCATATTCCAATCATGGGTGTGGTTTCAGGCTTCCCAGATGACTCTTTCTACCTAGAGGTCTCTCTCTCCTCTCCTAACTAGACACACCCTGGCTAACTGCTATCATGGTTCAAGATGTATCTTACTTTCTCCCAAACCCAGAAGCTTCATGGTTCTTCAGTGGTTTGCCACACACTTTGCTTCTCACATCCAGGCTGACCTCTGCCACTAACTACAAGTCCCCCTAGCGGGCAGGATCTGTACCTTATTTGTATATTTGGAGTGGCTAAAATACAGCACAGATAAACGTGCTTTCTTCAAGGACAGATTCTCGTTGAAATCTAAACTTTAAATCTAATCTAGGAGTCACTTAGCCCTTGAATTTCAATTTCCATGAACTATGCTACCTCCAAGATATGCTGAGAAAAAAAAGATATGCTGAGAATCAAAGAAAATGTGAAGTTGCTTGACAAATGTCAAATATTGTACATGTAACTAGTAACAGTAAATAAAACTTTTCAGAATCATCTACCTATTTGGTTAATACTTTAGAAAAATCCATTAACATTTGAAAAAGCATTCTTTGTCAACTAAGGAATTTGGAGAAAATGGTTCCATATTATATAACGTTAAACTATCATTAATGAACAGAATCACAAGCACTTCTTCTAAACTGCCTCAAAGAACTCTGGAAATGCTTATTTCAGCATTCAGATAAATTTTAAAAGTATTATCATGCTTAAAAGTATCACAGAAGTCACTGCATTAAGATAATTTCCCCTTTCAAAAAAAATTTTTCCCCTTTTCATAAAGGCACCATTCAAAAGTTAAAAATATGGGTACTAATCAAAAGACATATTTAACAGCAGGCAGAATAAATAAGCTTGAATTCCTTATTCTTTTTAAGAACTTCCAAAGCTCAAAGGTTATGAGTATTAAAAGGTACTTTTTATACTGAATTAAATGTCAGAACACTTTTTTCTTTCACATTTCATGCAGCACTCAACTCAAATTCTTCAAATGGCAAACCTATAAATCATAACATAAAACTAATCTTTTCTAGCAAACTAGAAATAAGTGCCATTAAAATCTAGAAAGAAATGCCCTTTCTAAAAAACTAATCGAATTGTTCTTCCTTAAAACAAAGTTAACAAGTATACTTTGGGCCCTATTGGGAAAGTTGCTATCTAATTTGATTTATATTATTTTAATGTTACACTATTTGAGTTGGACATTAAATGAATTTTTTTTCTCAAACAAAAATAAGCAAGTGCCAGAAAACCAACTGTTACTCCAAATTTACTCTAGCTTTTTATAATATGCCTAGATTCTCTGAAATGTATAATTATAGCTGGGTAGAAATGATTATTTTTTTCCTGTGTGTGTTTGTGTGTAAAGAGTAAAGCATTCTTCTGATTTAAAATTCAAAAAAGCTCAAATGTGGTCTTTTTTTTTTGTTTGTTTGTTTGTTTGTTTTGCTGTACTGGGGATTGAACTCAGGACCTTGCACTTGCCAGGCAAGCACTTATTCTACTAAGCTATCTTCCCACCCCTCAGATGCGTTTAGAGTTTGACTCTTCACCCTCTGTTCCTCAAGTAACTTACTCTTAATTATTTCAGATGCTTCCAGAAGCAGTGTATCCCTATACAAAAATACATCTTATTTATAGCTCTTTGCACAAATGCTAAAGTACAACACTGACTTGTAGCACTCCCAATTATCCTCAAGTTGGTTTTATTCTACTGCTTCTCAAATATTATGGTTTCTGGAACCCTCTGTGAACTCTTTAAAAAGTAAATGAAGATTCCAAAAGGCTTTTGTTGAAATAGCAATGACCACCCTGTGTTAGAAATTCAGCCTGGGCAGTGGCATGTTGCCTGTAATCCCAGACACACGTGAGGCCAAGAGGGAAGATACACTTGAACTAAGCAGTTGCACACGAGCCTAAGAAGAGCCTGTCTCACCATCAGGCACTTGCTCAACAGGCCTCAAGATATATATTCATTCTAACATGACACCATTACTTTTATGAAAAAAAAAAAAAAAAACTTTCCAAAACAAAATAAAAACATGTCTTGTCATTATTTTGACATTTTAAAAGTCCTTAGAGCTAGGATTAGAAAATAGCTGGATTCTCAACTACAATTGTGATGTATTTTTCTGAAGAACATGGAAGCCATTTGTCATCCACGTACATATGGAAAAGAAGGAATGTTTTATCTTCAGGTAATTGTAGATATTCTCTAAAATATGACAAATGATAGTTTCCTAAAGGGTAGTCACAGTACAAAATCTGAAACTTATGAATTTTTATACTCTATTAAAACTCTTTCATTTATCTTGTGGTTTGAATAGCCCTTCAACACATATTTTCTATCATGCAGTAGGCATTTGCAAAATACTGAGTAATACAGATCTTCTAAATATTGACACATTTCATTAGATACAGTTCTGAGTAGCACCATTAAGTTTTGGGAAAGCTATCAAACTCATAGTGGTACATACAAATTTTCTGAAGTTCTAATGTTGACAACAAATTTTGTCAACTGTTTTCCTTTAAAAGATTTATTTTACTCATTTTTGAGAAAATATTGGTTACACACTTAAGTCTAAGTATCATACAATAGTTTGTCAACCATTCATTCTATCAAATGATGTACACACGGATGGGCAGCACCAGTTTGCTAAAACTCACACACACATACTAGTACTTGTGAAAATAAGCACTATACTGTGGTACACTGCTTCCATCTCTTCGTAGAGAACATCTCTAGAATACCTTTTAAAGTACAAAGTCCAATTCAACGAAAAAAGTAATTGTCACTGCTTCATCTGGCTGGCCCCCAGGCCTTCTTTTTTTTTTAATTTTTTTTTTTTAACATTTATTTATT